CTGTTATTAACCATTCTTACATGGTTTGGGGTAAAGTTCTACTTTCGAAAAAGAGAACAGTAAATAGTTACCAAGGATGGAAAGGAAGAGAGGAATGAAAATCAATAAAGAGATTAGGGTGAGCGATGAGAAAGGCTATATATAATACAGAGTTGATCGGACATTGTAGTTGATTAAACCAATCAATTATAATTAATGGTATGAAATATGCATGAATCTCTGAATGAAAAACCACTATTGTGTCAATTTTCACACAAATAGAGTAAAAAAATCAGTAAAACCTATCTATCAGAATAAATTCAAAGAAAAAAAATCCGGGTTTTTAAAAAAAAAAAATACTAATGTTCTCAGTGTAACAGTTATTTAAGATGTTCATACTGAACTGAAAAAAAAATAGTTTTGCATAGCATTTTCTCCTTCACTGTGGAAATTCAGTTTGGGAGCCTTGACATCTCCTGGACATTTCTTTTCATAGCATAAAAAAAGTTTTTAACATATACATTTTATTACTTACTTGCTATTTATCCAGGGGCACCTTGGCATCACTAATTTGACACCCATCCCCAACCCACGCAGGGAGGTGCATGTGCATACTGGCTGTGAGACTCACAGGGGGACGGCTTTTCCAGGGGGTTGGCTTTTCCAGGGGGTTGACAGAAACCCCACTCCATGCATTTGTATCTTGGATCTAACTGGGAAAAGATTTCACTTAAATAGGTAAGACAGCGAGTAAACCATCAGATAAAGAAAAAGAAATTCAGCTCAAGTCAATGTTCCTTCCTTTCTCCTTGCTATCCTGTTAAACATTTTCCCTTGAGCTACACCCTCAATCAAGTTCCTATGATCAACGGAGAATCCAAGCTCTTGAACTCTGTGTTCAGCTTTTTATCTTGTCCCCTCTGCTCATTTTTAATTTCAGGCTCCTCTCCAGAACTGCTCACTGTACCTTTACTTTCCTTCACAGAATCTGTCATTGTTCAAGATGATAAAATTATGTATTTGGTGTCTGGTTCCCAAATGAGACTGGAAGCTCCATAAAGGGAAAAAGATTGTATCTTGTTCACCACAAAATCCTCAGGACTGAGAACAGGGCCTGACCTCAAAAAGGAAAGGACTGAATACAAAACTCCTTTTTGAGTAAATGCAAGCCAATAGAATCCTACACTTGTTTATTCCTCACCCAATACAAAAAGACTCAAGGGCACTCCACTCTAAAACAGTTACAGGGTACAGAAAGATGGAAGACAAAAACCCTGCCCACATACTCAGGGGTGTGTGTCAGAGAGAGAAAGAAAGGAGGGTGACTTAGGAGTGTGTGTATGAGAGAGAAAAGAGTGAGAGGAGAGAGAGGAAGAGAGAGAGAGAGAGAAAGGTGAAAGAAAGCTAAACAATGATGGTACACATGAAGATATAATCTCCATTCTCCAGACTTGGTATGTAAACCTGGCTGGAAATGTATTACCAGGAAATTCTCTAGGATTAGCTCACTCCATTGTTCCTTTAAACCTTAAATACAGGATATTTACACTGGAGCAAATTTTAGACAGTATACCACTTAATCTGTACTTTCCTTCTGGCCCTTAACACTTTCTAATTGGTGTCATAGTCACATGTCTGTCTTTATCGTATGAGGTAAAATGCCTGGGAACAGGGAAGAAAAGAATTATATACTGTCAATCTAAATCTTACATCCTGGAAGTTTTACATTTAAAGTACCTTGTATAGGTTTATCTTTGCATTCACACACAACTGCTACAACCAGGTACAGAATGGAGACATGTATTAATGAAAGGTATGTGTTAGGTCTTTCAAGGTAATGGTTGTTATGTGCTGTTGGGTCGACCCTTGACATTGGAACCTACTGATTAAATCCTATAAGACTAAATTTGAATGAGAAACAGGAAATGTAGAGAAATAGAATGTCCATGTCCATTGCTTTTACTTCATGAAAGGTACATTAACAGTTACTTTGACTTCTTTAATGGTTGACAATTACCATTTCCATACAAAGATCTGTATGGAAAGTCTCCAGTGACTCATATCATAAATAGCCAACAAAAAATAGGAATCTTAAGCAACAGGAAGAAAATCCTACCCATTAAGATAATAACCTTTCAGTGTTCCTTCAAACTAATACTCACTTGACCACATGATAGATTTTTTAAAAATCAGTTCTTCAGAATTTATCCTGTGATCTATTTAAACTTCATGTTCCTCTTCATGTTTCCAGTCAGAACTACTGCATCTGTTAACTCCTCTGTACTACTAACAGCCTTTGTAAGTGCTCTATGGAGCCTTGTCTGGTTAGGGTGACACGGGCATCTTTCACTCCCTGCTGGTTACCATGGCTTTGCATTGATCAGTAAGACAAAGTGACTCTTCAAAAATCTTAGCTTCAAAATCCTATGAGCAGATTTATACTTCTAAGACAGTTTAAACACAGTGTAAATAGTTTTCCATAATCTATTAATTAGCATAAGCATCAAAGCAGACTAGAGCAGCCAGGCCGAACCTCTAATATTTTAAAAAAAAAAGAAGAAAAAGGAAATAAATTTGAAAGAATAAAATATAATCAAGGTTGTTGGTTTTCAGTTAGGAGTAGGAAAAAAATCCAAAAAACCTTCATATTTCTTTAGAGTAAGATCATCAACCCAAGTAATAACAGCACTTCTCCCCAAGTCAATGCCCCATGATCATTAACTTTACTATTTTATTTTGCACATCTAATTGCAGTAGACCTATTTTCTATTTTACAAAAGATTCTCAACTCAAAATTACATGTTAGCAGACACAGACAAAGCTGGAAAAATCCTCCTGAAAACTCATTAGCAGGGAATTACCTACTCTACCATCAACATTTGCAACAGAATTGCCAGCAAATTGAAAAAAGGACTAGTGTGAATCTCACCTTTACTCTTTGAAGATTATAATAACTAGTGTGAAGTCCAAAAGACTAGCAGAAAAAAACCATGCAATCAAGCAGGCTAGATAGTAAATCTGTATCATATTTGCCTCTCTATATAGACCCTTTTCATACAAGAAAAAAGAGACTGTTCAAAGTTAAATGTTTTGGCAAAAGCTTCAAAGAAAACTTATAATATGCTTTCAATGTTGAGTTGTTTTTGCTTTTTAATTTGTAGTAAGACAATTCAGAAAAATAAAAACTATTTTACAAAAACATTTAAAACATGGAGAAATAAATTCGTGTTCCCTTAATTCAAATGCATTTTTAATACGTTATGCAAAATCAGATTCTTGACTCTTACTTAACACAGCTTGTTTTATCTAGCCTTAAATGATCTGAGCCACTTGTGGGTAAAAACCAGGAAAAGAAAAAAGTTCAATGCCCTTGTAAATCTGGGACAAAAATTCTGTAGTGGTGTGATTGATATTTTGTATAGCATCTGCGGGATTACAGGAAAACCATTTTTCCGGAAATCGCTTTATTGGAAAAATATCATGAGGTAGGGAGAAAAAAAAGAAATAAATAAAAATGGGGGGGATTGGAAATGGTTAAAATAGAAAATGGGAATTCAACTGATCAGAAATACAACCTCGTCTGGACCAACTGTCACGCAAACAACTTCTAAACATTTTCAGACAAAAAGAAAAACAATCATTTTGCACAAGGCATAAACCGAATGTTCGAGAGTTGATGAATGGGGAAGACTTGCTAAACACCTAGTGGTGGGTGGATTTCACCAGGCTGCAGCCTCCACATAGCTTTTCTTTGCTGCACTGCAGAGGCGCCATCTTCTCCGTCTTAATCTTCACTCAATTCAATCCTTTTATCTGCACCCTAAAAAATATCCTGCAGACCCTTCCCAGCAGTCTGCACCCCCAGGGTGCTAAACCAGAATTCGCAGCACTGCTAGGGAGGAAGCACTGTCTTCATCAGACAAATGCCCCCTTCGATGCATAGGAAGGGAAAGCCCTTGACTCCCCACCACATGCCTTTTTCATACGCACACCCAATTCTCCATGCATTTCTCCCAAAGGACTTCACACAGTCCAGTACTGCATTAATAACGCTTCAAGAGTGATGGAGGAGGGAGGTACAGAGGAGGCCCCTGGGCTCGGCCGGAGAGAGGCCCCCAGCAGCGCCCCAGCCCCCTCTCCGCAGACGCGCCGGGAAGGGAGCCGGGCGGGAACCTTGGTGGCGCACAGAGAATAACGCGGCTCTGCCCACCGCGCCCGGGGCCAGCGGGGCGGGGTGTCGCGGCTTTTGTTCCAGGAGATTCTCTCCCTTTCGGAGAGAAGATGAAGACAGAAGAAACTGCTCGGGACAAGGGGACAACGCAGGGTGGCTGCGGGTCTTGGACCCCTCCCATCTCTCCCAACTTACACAAAAGGGAGACGCGGAAATGTACAAAGTTTGCCTAGGGAAGGTGGTGTGCCAGTCTGGCTGTGGTCGCACCCAGGCCGCCTCCGCAAGTAGCCGCGAAGAGGAACAGAGGTCTGGGTTGAGAAGGGAGGTTTGGATTGAAGGGATGTTGGAGGTGGGGAGGTGAACGGGACGAAAAGGCAGAGGAAGTAGAAGGTGGAGAGAGCGCCCGGAGCTGCCCAGACTCGTCCCCTCCGGATCCCCCAGAAAGGAAAGGGCAGCGATTTCAGAACCGAGAAGAGGATCCAGGGACGCAGCGTTTTCGGTTTCTCCCACGCGCCCCCGCCCCCACCGCCCGCCACATCTGGATGTCTCTCGTCTCCCACCCCCAGGAGAGGGACTTTCAGCCCAGGGTCGTTCTCTCCCCTTCTTGCCCGGGGCTGGTGCAGACAGAGAAACCAGGTCCTCTCCCGCTCCAGTTCCGCGGGCCAGAGCGCGCGTCCCCAGGACAGGGCTGGGTCGGCGGCGAGGATGCGCAGGGCGCCCGCCAGCGGCGGGGACGTAAGGCACGGAGGAGAAACGGGTCCCCCTGGCTACTCCTGATTTCTTGGGGTTAAAAAACTTGGGGGATTCAGTGGCCGCCCTCTCCCTCCTTCTGCCGAGTCGCAGCACCCACCTCCAGAGCCCTAGCCGTCCAGGCGGCCAGCAGGAGCAGTGCCAAACCAGGGAGCATCGCGACCCTGCGCGGGGCACACCGAGTGCGTTGCTGTGCCAGAGGGGTCCGCCGCGCCCTTGCTTTGCTCGTGCTTCCGCCGACCTCGCCGTCTCCGGTGGCCCCGCAAAGCGCTGCTCTGGGTGCTCTCGCCTACTGCTGCCGAGGAAACTGACGGAGCAGGAGCGCGGCGGCGGGGCTCGCAGCCCGGAGAGTCAGCTGATCCAGCCCACCCCACTCGCGCCCGACAGCGACCCCTAGCGGAACCGCCGTGGAGCTGCGCCCGCTCGCACCGCAGGAGCTCCCGCCCCTGTGCCTGGCGCCCACAGGTGCAGCGCCTTGGGCTCCTCCTGCACGCCCCCCGTGCGCTTCTGGGGTCCAAAGCCCACCTGGGCTCTGGGCTTCATAGGAGGGGGAGAGTGTAAAAGCTGGTGAGGGGCAGTGCAGGAACAGGTAAAGGTGAGTCGTAGGACATTTGGGCCTCAGAAAAGTCTAGAGCGCTGGTGGCTGATTCCCGTGAGCTTGACTCATCTGACTCTGCCGGCCTTTTGGGGATGTCATATAAAGGACTACTGCCCGGGTGCGTTTTATCTGCAGTTAGGTGTTTGTCTTGGTTTGGAGAGGGTGGGGGAGGCGTTGCTGGAAGAGAATGGGAACAAGTGAAGCTTAAAGAAAATAGGATTTCTTTGCTTGTTGAGGAAGCAAAAGATGTCCGCCCCCCCCCCCACCCCCACCCTCCTGTCAAAAGCAGCCACGAGCAACCTGGAATATCTATCTTTAGAAAGAACCAAAGGAGAAAGGCAGGAGACATGGCAAAGCAGCAGAACGACCCATTTAGTCCTCCTTGAAAGAAGCGGTTTTTTCACAACTTTGTTTTGTTTTGGTTTATTTTATTTTAGTGAAGGGGGCTGTCGGCAGGGATGATGCATTACCCATATGAAATAAGGCTAGAATGGAAGTTAGAAAGGAAGGATCTTGAGAAGTGATTCATGTTAGGCCCCCATATCTAGGAAGTTCTGTCGTCCTTGTTCTTCATATGTCTGCCCTAAATTACAGAAATGAACCTTCTGGAAAGTTACTTTCCCCTCTTGATTTAGTATAAACTCGCTAATATCCAAGTGGAGAGCATTCTACAACTGTGCAAATGTAGCCTATGCCCTCGATCTGAAGGAACAGCAGTCCTCAAGCCAAAGTACAGTGGGTTTAGTGGGGGTATATGAGGTTCAGGAGAGCTCCCCGCCCTTGTTAGGATTGCCCCCCTGCACTGTTTGCTTCTCTCATTTTGTGGCTGGTCTGGCCTAAGGTGCCCAGCACTGCAGAGTGATGGCTCAACCAGCCAGATGCTGACTCTCTGAAAAGTTATTATGTGTCTACCAGCACCCCTGAGTATTATATTCTATCATTCAGGGCACAGGGCATCCAGTCTTGACTCTTGGATTAGGTTTTCCCCATGAATGTCCTGTCTATGTCCTCAAAAAACAAGGGCAATGACTTGAAATCATGCATCATTTGTTTGCAGGCGTTATGGCAAAAGTCACTGAGGTCGGTATGGTTATTATTCCCATTTTATATTTAAGTCAGGAAATGGAAGCTATCACTTCTCCCAGGTCAGAGAGCAAGAAGGTAAAAAGAAGTTGAACTGCAGGGAAATGCCTTTTGGGCAGCAAAACCTAGTTCTCTACCTTCTGGAGTTAACAATGTCTTCTATGTACCCTTTGGGACAGAGTGGAAATGCCTCATTTCCAACATTGTAAATCTTTATGGAAGCCAACTGCTACGGCTTTCTCCTACCCAGTGAGTATGAACTACCAACCTTAGGTTAGCATCCAAGTGCTTAAACACTGTGCTACCAGGGCTCATTTTCTCCACTATGCCTCTTCCCAAATGCATTGCCCAATTTGCAATCTGTTCTGGGTCAGTAAGAGCAATTGGACACATCTGAATATAAGAGGAAAGACTTGAAGATACGGTGGGTAGAATCAGTGACATAATTTGCTGAGACCAGTGCAAAATGGGGGGGGGGGGGAATCCACCAAAAACCCAAAACCAAAATCATGGAGCCTCTTGCGCAAAAGTTAGGAGAATATGAATACAGTGACAACAGACTATAGGACTCTTCTCAAAGTGGGGTGCTGTATGACTACACACGGTGAATAACTCATGAAGGAAAAAGCTGTTTTTAAGAGCAAGGGAATTTTATTGATAGTGAAACTCAAAGATAGAGAGATAAGGTTATAATCTGTAAAAATAAGTTATTGGGTTAGCTCATTCTCTCTCCACTGTTGAAATTCATCAGCTCATGAATTCCTCCTTGGTCCAGATCTTCCCCGGGGGACAGATGATTAGCTGCCAGGTGTATCAAAATGATAGACATCCCCTACATTTTGTCCTGTGATGACAACATTGCTACTCAGAGAATCTGATGACTTTTTACTTCTCAGCTGCTACCTCTCTTTTCTATTTAATGCCATTTTCCTGTCGTGAAGAAATTTCCTCAGCTCAGCTGAGCAGGAAATTGTAAAGTATCCCTAGTTAAAAGACTACAGTATAGGAGAGTGGACCTACTACCTATCTGCTAGAATTTTCATCCTATGTGGAATTGCCTTAATTATGATAACTTCAGTAATTATTCGCACAGTACATTCTGTCTATGGACTGTTCTGGTTATAAGAGTCTTTACTGTGTTTAATGTCCATTTCCCTTTTTCTAAACTCACACTCAGATGTCCTTGTTGTACTCCCAAATTACCAAGTAGAGCAACTGCAATCTTCCACACAACAGATTTTCACATATTTACCTGCTATTTTCATATAACTTCCCAGAGTCTACTGTTAGCAAGCAAAACAGGCACTTTCCTAAATGGTTTCTCATTGCCTTGCAACTCTGGCCAAAAAATCTAAACCAAATCCATTCCCTTTAAATTGTGGTGTGGGTAAAGAATATTGAGTATCCTATGGACTGCCAAAAGAAAAGAACAAACAAATCCATCTTGAAGGAAGTGCAACCAGAATATTCCTTAAAGACAAAGACTGTGAAATCTCCTCTCGCTCACTTTGGGCATATTTTCAGAAGGAACCAGTCCTTAGAGACAGATGTTATGCTGGAAAAGATAAAGCATCAATGAAAGAGGAAGACCTTCTACAAGAGAGATTGACAGAGTGACTACCACAATAGACTCCAGCACGACAGAGATCATGAGATTGATGCAGGTGATAGGGTAAGGCGCATAGACTCACTTTTTTTTTTCTTTTTAATAATTTTAATGAATATTTACAGAGAATTTGGATTTCCATTAATTCATTGCTGCACTTCTCTACCCGCCCAGCCCTCTCCCCCCACCCCCCAGTTCACTCCTCTCTTTCAAAAGTAAAAGATAGACTCCCTCCCGGGTACACAATCACCCCCTGCACCCCTCCCACCACCCCAAGTACATTCTAACGATGACAGAATAATATGATCATTGCAATGTTGAATGGTCTGTTGTTGACCCTACTCTTTAGTCTAAGGCTGCACTAGACATTTTTAGTAGGGAATCCCTCTCAGAGACTCAAATGGGACAGTTACTACCAAATCTCCCAGTGATGCTGCCGAGAGACACCTCTGTCCTCTTGTGTGTAGGGTTACTCTGTAAAGACCACATGTTAGTCTTAGCCAGAAGATGGGCTCTCATTTAGAAAAGATATGACTTGTGGGGGCAAAGACTTGGATTCAATTTCCAGTCAAATACATCTTATGCACTGCCACCCTCAGTCAGTGGAAGTTTGCATATTGCTATCTTAAATAATCAGGTTTCTGTGGCACTTCCAGACTACAGTGAACTAAAAAGAAAGACCAAGTATTTTACTTACAAATATTATCCGTTGAAAACCCATGTTGTTGGTGTGTGCTGCCAAATCACCTGCAACTCATAGCAATCCTATGTACAACAGTTTCACTGACTCTGACACAACTACCCCCATTTCCCCAGTTACTGTATCAATCCGTCTCATCCGAGGTCTTCCTGTCCTGTCCATCCAACCTTCCAAGCATGATGTGCTTCTCCAAGGACTAGTCTCTCCTGGCCACATGCCCAAAGTATAAGATGGAGCTTCAAAATCCTAGCATCCATGGAGAAACTTGGTTTCACCCTCTCCAAGACAGACCTATTTGTTTTCTTGGCAGTCCATATATGTTCAAAACTCTTCTCCAGCACCACAACTCAAAGGCATCAATTCTTCTTCTGTCATCCTTGATCATTGTCTATCTCTCTGTTGCATAGCAAGTAATTGCAAAGACCATGAGCTGGATCTCACACATCTCAGTCTCTAGACTGACATCATTGCCTCTCAGTACTCTAGCGAGGTTCCTGACAGTAGATTTTCCCAATGCAATTTGTCTTTTGTTCCAGACTGCTGGTGCCAAGAGTGTTGATTGTGGAGCCAGACAACCTGAAATTGCTAACAACCTCAATCTCTTCTCCATCTAGTGCTGCCAGTTGGCCCAGTGGTAAGAATAGGCATCATTTTATTCCCTTGTGCATGGGATCACTTTGAGTCAAGCACCAATGAACAGCAGCTAACAACAAAAGCAAGACTCATTATATAGCCCTTTTGCTAATTATTGGTCTTTCTGACCCGTAGTCAGTAGTTCTTCTGCCCTTTTCATCTGGAAGTTTATTCAGTGCAACAGAAAAACTAGAAATTGAAGAATTCTCCTTTTTCTATCTTAAGCACCAGCATTGCATCATGATCCCTGTGTAGCTGAGTGCCCCACTCCCATGATTGTCAGAGACTCTGAACATTATAAAAATGTCATGACAAGGGTTTGTGGGCTCTTCTGACTTTACAAGGAAGAAGGAGAATCATGACCAACAGCAAAGATTGAATTTTATGAAGCAGAGGTCAGGTGCACTCCAACCTTTTTACCAGTTCTGACATAATCTGTCCATCCCAAAGCACTCTCTACTTCCTAACATGGTTCATTAACTTCTTGCAATGGCCACACAGAACTCACAGGTAATTCTCACAATGGTGGGTTTTATTCAAGAAGTAACAGGATACAACTTGGGATCAGGAGCAGTTCAGGATACTGTTCCTGGGTCAGGACAGCCCCTCAGCTGTTGCAAATAGCAAGTGTCTTTATGGTCATAGGCCTGCTCAGTCCACTGCTTCCAAAGGTCTCTTGGACCAGCCCAGCCTATCCCCTGTTCAGGCAAGTGTTGCATAACTCTTTCCACAAATAACTGTC